CGCGCGGCCATCTACGACGGTGGCGCGATTGCCCCAGTGAACCAGAGCACCTAAGGACCTAACTGTCTAGCGAGTGAGCATCAGGAGACAACCGTGGACCTAGCCGAGGTGGTGGGTGGAGAAGAGGGTGACGGCAAAGGGTTGGCCACGTGCGGCCGAGCCGTACGACGGTGCATCGCGGCAGCACGATCGCGTTAGCGACGATGGGGAGGTGGTAGCAGTTCGGCTAAGGCACGTAGGGTGAAGAGAGAGTCAAGGCGAAGCTGGTTTGGGATGGGCGGTAGGAGGGCTGCCCTCGACCATGGCCACTGCGCGGCCTCAATGGCACGACAGCAGGGAAAAGCTCCAAGTTGGAGCTTGGCAATGCCTTCTTCATGGCTGGGTGGGGTCGGGCAGCGAGAGGACATGATGGTGAAGTCATGGATGTGATGAATTGAATGAAGGTGATCGATCGCCGGGTAATTTTGTGGCGCGGCTCGATGGCGGTCAGTAGAGAGAAGAGGGAGACGGGGCCGGCAGGTGGGCTCAGCACGGCCTCGCCTTATCGGGATGTGATCGGCGTGATCAGGGCGTCACACACGCGGACGTAATCGGACAAGCACGTGCGTCCATTGACCAGCACAGCCCACGTGGTCGCAGTGCCATAAATGGCAAGACGACAGTGAGCTCCACCACGTGCGCGCGGCAGCGGCGAGCAACAAACCGCGCCAGCAGTGGGGTAGGGGTGCAGAGGGAGGCACGGATGTGACGGTGAGGCGACGACACCTGCAGCGGCTGCGTCGCGGCACGAGGCAGGTCGGTAGGGCGGCACCGCGGCAAGGCAGGCGGTCGCGCCGCTCGGCCGTGCGAGCAGCAGCAGCGGCTCCACGCGGCAGAGCCAGTGGTGGCCAGGACAGGGTACTCGCAGTAGGCCACATGCGACAGCGCGCGTGCACGCGCAGAGCGAGCTGGCGTGGCGACGTCATGCCCCCGAGACGTGGTGACCGCGCTCACCCCGGTGAACTAACCCGAAATCACGTCTTGCACGAATTTTAAAGCACCTATAACAACTAAACGGTTACCTCTAAACCTAAACCGTCTTCACCATGCTCAAGATGGCATGTGAGGCTACCAACCTAGGCTAAAACACGACACCATCCCTTAACTCGATTTCACAAAATAAATTGTCAAACATGGCATTGTCTTGCTGTCAATAAACTTAAAAATATTCTAAGTCTTTGAGTTGTACTTGATTCCTAGTTGCATTTCTAGGCCATTAGAAGCATTAGCTAGCAAAGTTACTTTTCAATGGCAAGGATTTCATTTTCATCTACACAGTCCATACACCAAACTTTATTTAAGTGCTACATATATGTTCTATAGTGTTTTTGTTCAATAAAAATTAGTTTTCAACCCTACTTGATATACATGAGCTATTGAATCAACTTTCATTTAACATTTTTATTAGTCATTTTAGGTTACAAGAAATTGATCTACACACTTTATCACATGCTTTATCACATAAACATGATACTCATGACATGGTTTAGTGGTTTGTTTATGGTGTAACACCGAGGGTATTACATATCTACCAGAGGTTTTGAGGTACTCGATTTTGGGCCTCATTGGCACGAATGGGAATCCATCCTGTTCCGTACGACAACCTCCAGAGTGTTTCTCAATGGTAAATTGAGACCAAAGTTCAACCACACTAGAGAGGTGCGACAGGGTGACCCACTTTTGCCCTTGCTTTTCATCTTGGCAATGGGCCTAGTGCAGCGGCTGTTTAACCTCGCCATTGGTCAAAATGTCCTCATGGAGCTGCCTCTTGCGACAAAATGGAGCACGTTCATGTACACCGATGACGTGACAATCTTTATAAGCCCAAAAAAGGAGGACAAGGAGGTCATAAAAATTATTCTTGAAGCCTTTGGTAAGGCGTTGGGCCTGCGCATAAATATGGACAAAAGCTCCATCCATCCGATCAGATGCGAGAACATTGACCTTGATCATGTGCTCTTGGCTTTTTTAGGAACCAGGGACACATTCCACTGCTGATACCTTGGACTGCAGCTGCACACTAGGCTGCTCCAAAAGGTCAATGTGCAGCCTCTCATAGAATGCTTTGGCCTAAGATTCCTAGGCTGGAAGGGCAAGTTGCTAAACAAAGCTGGATGCCTAATGCTGGTCACTTTCGTACTCTCGTCCATGCCTACATGCCACCTTACTGTTTTCCCATTAGCCACCTGGACCAAGAAGCAGATCAACAAAATCCGATTGGCCATTCTTTGGAAGGCAGAGGAGAACGCAAATGGGGGACATTGCCTAGTCAATTGGCCAACGGTGTCCAAACCAAAGGAGTTTGGTGGCCTAGGCGTGTCTGACCTGGACAAAGTCGGGAGAGCGCTGTGTTTACGATGGCTATGGCAGGATTGGGTGGATGGCTAGCTCCAAGCCCTGGGCGAGGTCTGTCTTGCCTTGCAAATCGACTAACAGATTACTATTCAACGCCTCAACCATTGTCACAATTGGAAATAGAATAAAATCACAATTCTAGCATCATAGCTGGCTTGATGGAGAAGCCACTAGAAACCTAGCGCCACATCTCTTTGAGCTAGTCAGAAGGAAGAATAGATCAGTCCAATAGGAACTTCACAACAAGTGGATTCGCTTTCTCAAAGACAAGATCACAATGGCCACCCACGTGGAAGAATTCATATCCCTAGATCAGAATATAGAGCATGCAGTTGCAACCGGAGGTGCAAGACTTCATCTCATGGAAATGGACTCTCGATGGAATATACTCTACCTGATCAGCATATTGCATTCAGTTCCACGGGAGCTTCAAGAGATTCGGGCAAGACCTTATATGGAAATCGCATTCGGAGAACAAATGCAAATTATTCGCATGGATCCTCATACACAATAGAATTCTCACAGCAGACAACTTACAATTGAAGAATTGGCCGCACTAGGAGAATTTTGTTATGTGCAATGGACCTTTAGAATTCGGCCTTCACTTGAGCTTGTTGCACCCCTTCCTAAAGAGGTCTAGAGCCTCGTGTTGACTTCAGAGTACTTTGACGTAGATCTAATGCAACCGCATGTCCAACCAACAGAAATCAGCGCCTGGTGGAACTTGGGAGGAAGCGGCTGCCACTCCCAAAACAACGTTAATGACACTTCAACGGGGTGGTAATATACAAGATTTGGAACATTCAAAAAGAAACAAAACAAATGGATTCTCAAAAACAATTCGTTGGACGCACGACATGTGGCCTTCTGAGCGAAAGATGACACTATTGGTCTACATGTGGGGATATTTACTAAATTCTTTTAGCATTCCTTTTAGTTAGTTCATTATGACCTTTCAGCTGGTTCTACCCGTGAGATGAGAACGTGTTTTTCGAGCCTTTAGGAATTCTGTACATAAACTCTTGTTACTATCTTAATTAAGACTTCTTAACTGAGACTGCGTCTTATAGAGCCTCCAGGCTCGTTAGTATCTTACTCCCTCCGTCTTATAATATAGTGCATTATAGCATTCAAAAATTATCCTCAAATATAATGCATTATAGAAGACAAAAATCAGTTTTGCATTAAATACTTTCTATTTATCAACTAATCATTATTAATCACGTTGATGATAATATCTGATTAGAAAATAAAATGAGGATATGTGCGTCTTTTATATTCTCTCTTAATTTGTTTTAAAATTTCTAAAATGTACTATATACCGGACAGAGGGAGTAATTAAAACTTCTTAATTGCGACTGCGCTTTATAGATCTTTCAGAGCAAACTCTCTAGTTCCTATCTTAATAGAGACTGTGTCTTATGACCTGTTTGGCACAGCTCAGTTTCACTAGTGAGACTGTTTTTTTAGAAAACAGCTTCACAAACAGCATTTTTAGTGAAGTTCTTTGGAAAAAGTGTTTAGTAAATTAGCTTCACCAATAGCTTATGAGGGAAGACCTATGATAAGCTAATATTTTCAGCTTCATCCCAACTCATGTTTTTATAAGAGAAGGAGAAAACTTCATCCATAAAGTTGTTTTGATAATGAGTGGTTGGCAAAAAAAAACAGTGCCATGCCAAACAAGCCCTTATAGAGCCTAAAGGCCCTTATAGAGCCTTAAGGCCTTCGGTAGAGCATCAGGTATTCTGTACGTAAACTCTCGCTCCTGTCGATCTTGTTCCTATCTTAATCTCGTTTCTATCTAATTTTTTTTGAGAATTACACACAGACATAGCTTCTACCATATTTTTTAAAAAAAATACTTTTGGCACCGCTATCGATCTAGTTCGTATCTTAATCGAGAGACATAGCTTCTTCTACCATATTTTTTATTTTAAAAAAAATACTTTTGACATCGGCCGGTATCAATGCACCGACACAGAACATAGATCTAGTATGATAATATTTTATAATTTTAAATTATAAGTAATTTTTGCTTTTCTATTACTTTTCTAAATACATAGCGTTTATTATACGTCTAAACTAATATCTGACAGAATAACAATATTTTATAATTTTAAATTAAGTAATTTTTGCTTTTCTAAATAGATATCGTTTAATTTACATCTAAACATAGTCTATATCCGACGTGTTGTTTGTTTCGTTCAGTGATAAGGCAAATAGAAACGAAATTAGTTCAAATCCCATGTGTCCACCGGTCTAACTTGTTTCCATTTACGTTACTGTTCAATCAACCACCAAACAGCACGTAAGTACATAGAAAAACAATGTAACCAAGAAAGTGAATACACTCACAAAGGGGGAAAAAAGGAGAGGACAGATTTGTTTCCAGTGTCATTTTCAACTGAAATCAAGAGTTGAGCTTCTTTATTCTGGAGCGATAGAGAAATCTTTATTCAGTTGGATCTACCACGACCTAGTCTTTCGCAAAGCAGAATGTGGCTCCTCGACACATGCAGAGAAACAGAGCTGAACACGAGCAACAGAAGTAGCTATATATATACTATTATTACATCCTGTTACAGCTACCACGGACGACCGAGCTACTTCGCTTCACGCGAGCCCTCAGCAGGATGCTTCTCTGGGTCACGGCCGGCGGCAGGGTCCCCGTGGCCGACGGCGACCTTGGCCACCTCGGTGGCGGGCGTCCCGGGCCTGGCCTTCTGGTACAACACGAGGTAGCCGATGACGCCGACGATTCCGAACCCAACCAGCGCCATGGTGCCGGGACCGTACGGCAGCCGGCCGCGCTGGTGCAGCACCTCTCCGGGGCCCCGGCCCGGCGGGCGCATGGACGCCTCCACCCCTGCCGCACGCACCTCCTCCGGGCTCATCTTGTGCGTGTCGGCGTTGCGGCGCCACTCCTCCGTGCCGCTCTTGGCCATTGCGTTTGCGGGCTCTCCCTCCCCCTCCGTGCCACTGCGACTCCGTGCTGCGAGACAAGTGCTGGTGGGATACGGCGACAATAAACTGTAGTATAATAAGGTGCAAAGCGAGGTGGCGACGTGGCGTCAAGAATGGAACACGTAGCGAACACGTGTTGGACATCCAAGCTGACACCACGACCAGATAGTGCTGGCTGGTATTCGAAAGAGAGGAGCACGAGGGGATTGTTTATAGTTATTCGATCGGTGCAATGCGTACTAAACAAGAATAGAAGACGCACACGTATGGTATGATGCATCGACGTGCGGACCCACGCTATGTTTTTTGTGGATACGTCGTCTTGAGGGCAGAAAGACAATCAATCGATCATGCTAGTCGGTGCGACGTTAGAAGTATATGTTGCATATATTTGTTGAGCTCTTTTACGGTGGCTGGGGTACTTCTCGGTTCCTCTTAGTTCCTAAGCAATTAATTAGCGCTAATTAATTTTATGAGTGAATGTTAATATGGTAATACCGGCTCCCCCTCCCCCCGCTACCCCTCCCCCACGTGCACCCGAACTCGCACGCCTCGCCCATGCGCACCCGAAGGACGCTAGCAGGTCCGTGGACGCGAGGCTTCCCTGCCCTCGGCCTTAGCCGCGGCCGCCTCGCCCTCGACCTCGCCATCGCGCGGCGCCGCCGCCACCGGCCTGCCCTCGCCACCATGGGTCGCTCCTCCCTCCTCCCCCCGGCACCCCTCGCCCACGCGCACCCGAACCCCATCACGGCGACAGAATATCTCATCCTCCGCGGCCTTTGGTGTGATTGTGTGTGACTTTCGAGTCTTTGGCGCGCGGAGGCAAGCGTGGATCGATCGCCTAACTCTCCTGTCCGCGCAGGGAACAAGGCGGCGACGCACGAGCACGACTTCCTCTCGCTGTACGCCGCCGCCGTCGGCGCCGCCGCCAAGGATGCTCCTCTCCTGCTCCATGACTCCGCCGTGTTTTCTTCATTCTCTCTTCTTCCTTATCTCATGGCAATTCTACTTCCTGTTCGATCGACCTCCGTCCAATATAGTAGTGTTAGGTAGATCTGCTGCTTGCAGTTCCTTATTCGTGCCTGGATCAACCGGAGAAGAAAACCTTGCAAGCCAGCTTGTAATAACTAATTAATTAATCTTAATCAAATTAACCTGTTCCTCGCACTGACGCATGATGATTGATAAGTAGCTGTGTTTCGAACATGGATGTTTGCTAATGAAGAAGATATATGTCTTATCTGCTTGGAGCTGCACTAATATTCTGTATAGTTAATGACGACATCCCCCTATCAGATTTTACCAGCCCTCGCCGTCGCATGGCGCCGCCGTCACCGGCCAGCCGTCGCTCTCCCTCCTCCCCGGCGCACCCGCCAGACGCGAGCTGCCCCAAGGCCAAGGTTCGACAGACATGCAGGAACTCATTTTCATGGTTCATGCCATTGCCCATTGCCATGAATTTATTTTGGAGCTTAGACTCTGGTCTGAAACTTGAATTTACTGTTCATTGAATGGGACTGACTCTTATTGATTCTTATCCTGTCATTTCTAGTGTATGTCATTTTTCTCCTTATTTAATCGTAGACAATCAGATCATTTTATCTTGTTGTAGCAGCTCTGCCATTGAGTTAAAATGTGTTATACTTCTCTCTAATATATTTTGAGTTCGATCACATATTGCTTTTGATGGGAATCGATGACACAAGTTATCTTCCCCTGCTAGTCAGACATGTTAACAACTTAAGTGTCTATTATATCTTATGTGTATGCTTAGAGCCTTAGATTGTCACTTCATATAGAAAAGTTACATCAAACAGGACCAATTATTTGTTAGTCAACATTGACTAGACTTGATATATGGATATCTTTTCTGTATGAACACATTGTGTTGATAATGCTCAACATCTCTAAGCATTACAAATCTATGTTAATAGTTATCTAATGAGCTGCTATTTTATTTTCTGAATTTCAATTTACTTTGTTGTCTTCCAGTAGTGAACTCCTAGACAAATGGGATTTTCTGAGGAAGGAAAATGATGGTGAAAATGATTTTACTGGATGGACGTTGCTAGGATGATTCTGCTAAATTTGCATATGGTCCTTTTACATGTCAATGCTGGTCCAAATAGTCTAGACTAAAAACTGTGTATATTTCAAGTTTGATGTATTGTTAAATTTCTCTATTGTGGTTGGTCACCAAGCAGTGGTATCAGGCAGACAGGGTTCAAATCCTGGCTTGCACCCAAAAAAAACTTGCTCTGCCTTCCCACAAAAAATAGCTGGGCACCATCCTGTTGTATTGGTGAGGTCCTACCTGGGGTAGTGGCAGGATTCGAGGGTTTTCTCAAATAGTTTGGTTATTGTATTTGTTTAATGTTGTTCATGGATACAGGAGAAAATGTCAGATCTTGAGTCTTTGCTGAAGTACAATGAAATTGTCAAGAAGATGTTTGCTAATGAAGAAGAAGGATTTCAGTTCTATAACGACTACGGTTTTGAGAAAGAATTTAGTGTGAGGAGAAGCTATTGTGAGTGGGACAATGGCCACAATGAGATGACTCTTCGGAAGTTCATTTGTAGTCGTCAAGGTTTCTGTGAAGAGAAGCAGCTGAAGAGGGCGATTAAGAAGTGGAAGCCGCGGAATATTACCCGTGTTGGATGCCTTGCTAAATTTGTGATTGCACGAGATCATATCACAGGGTAGTGGTTTGTGAAGGATTTCATCGATGAACACAACCATCCGATGACGCTAGCAGAGCTTACTTGTCTGCTACGTTCACATAGAAGAATCAGCGATGAGAAAAAAGCTGAGATTGTGGAGATGGAGAGTTCTGGCATCCGCAAACACGAGATAATGGATATTCCCGCAAATATTTGCGGCGGTAGACAAGGCTACCCTGTACAACAAACATGTGCCCCCATGGGAAGAGGTGTAAGTAGATGCAAACCGTGCACAAGACAAGCACGGCTGAAAGAAGATCAGAGGACTCAACCTAAACCCCAATGGAGAAGAAGTCAAGATACGATAGAACAGCCATTAGCGCACCAGCTCGCAAACAGGCGGTTGGGTGCTCCAGAGAGATCTTCTTAAGGACTTGTAGAGACTGAGAAGACGAGTAAAGTAAATGTGTTAGCAGCACCTTGATCATTTTTTTTAGATAATGAGGATGACTGATCATATAGAGCGAAAAAAGAAGGAAAGGCACCACCTGCTCGACGAGGTCCATGTACTCTATGGTGAGCAGTCGAGCACAGAAGCACTGTATGGCTCCATAGTGCACGACTGCGGAGCAAGAGGAGGGGAGCATATCAACGAGGTTGGCAAGTGCCCGCGCAGCGAGCAGCATGACGTGGGGGCTGGCACCAGCGGTGGCAGGCTCATCCTCGTGGCCGAGCATCCCGACGAGGATTGGGACGAAGGCGTCGACGAGGAAGGCGGCGAGCGAGTCCTCGGTGCCGATGGAGAGCGTCTCGCAGAACTGCATGAGGGACTGGAGCTGGCGCGACTCGTCGCCGTGCGCCTGCAGGCTGGCGAGGATCCTCTTGAGGTGACCGGACGTGGCGGAGGAGGGCGCTGAGGAGGAGGAGGGGAGGAGGTCGTCGAGGCCGGCAACGAGCCTGCGGAGGAGACCCTGGAGGGTGGTGCTGGCGGAGGTGAAGGACTGGGGGAGGGACATCGGCGTCATCGTCGGGGGGGGGGGGGGAACGGTGGTCGGAGGAGGAGGGTCGGGGTCCTTGCCCTTGTCGGCGGCGGTGGCGGGAGGAGGGCGAGGGTTCCATCAGTGGCTGCTGGGGCGGCGGCGCTGAGGAGGAGGAGGCGGCGGCGGCGCTTGGAGGCGGCCGCTGCGCGCTTGCGACTACTGCTGCGTGTTTCCATACAAGGCAGGGCGCGCGCGAGGAGGGCGGCCAGCGGCAGCGGCAGCGGGCGGATGCGCATGAATCCAATTCCAAGCGACAGCTCCTGGATTGGATTCGCCGGCGGTGGGTCGATCCGGAAGGAATTGGGGATTTTTGCTTGCTTCCCCTGGTTCCCTTTTGCCTTCCTTGTTGGATGGATTCCACACTTCGATGAAAGGGAGGAGGAGGAGGTCAGGAGGAGCACGACGAAGACGCCAGAGAAGAGAAGAGAGTGAGACATAGACACCAGCCCAGCAACTGCTGGTCAGGATCGTCAGGACTCTCGTGGTCGGCAACTCCACAACTCCAGGGTCGGCCATTCCCTTCTTAGGCTCTCATCCTCTCCAGCATATTTTTTTATTTTTTTAATTTAAATTCTTTTTTATTATAGAAAATTGCAAAACTACACCACTACCGCTGATTAAATTCCGCTTATCGAGTATTCCAAAAAAAAATTCCGCTATTTGAGACAGCGAATTTTTCGTAATTAATTAAAACATTTTAAAGACTTACTCATGCAATAAAAAAGCACAATAAAAGTATGCAAGTCTTTAAACATACTAGTAGACTAGTAGTTCACTGCTCTTTTGAATGATGGGTTGTATGGTTTAAGAAGACAAGCACAATTCCTGACATTTTAGCATCTACTATGTTCAATGCTCAAGAAGATTGCCTAAACAATTGGTCGAGACGAGCGGATCTCAAAGGGACACGCTCTCCGAAGGGGGAAAAAAAGAGACAGTACTCAGTACTGACGCAAACACATAATTCATTTGCAGGTTTAGAGTCGCTAATAGGTACTAATAGTTCATATGCACCTTCAACTCACTATCCAACCATTTATTACCAGTTGGATCCAAACAGCCCCATGTTAATAGATCCAAACATTCCCTAAATCATGGTCGGTAACTCCTGCGCCGTCCATTCGCTCTGCTCTGATCCTCTCCAGCATCCGCCGAGGCCCAGCTTGGTGTTTTTTTCCTAGGTCCATGACAATAATAATTACTACTTTCATTTCTCAACGAAGCAGCAGCATATGCAACGATCACATCCACAAGTAGACTACCACAGGAGTATTATACACATAGATCAAGTGCAAGTGCAGCAAACACCTTTCTACAAACCACCATGCTCACATACTCACATCAAACCCATGCTGCTGGTTACTACGTACTACTAGCAGGCGAGGGAGACAGAGATCCTGGACCGGCCTAAACACAACACAACATGGCTTTTTTTTCACCTGTCAACGAACTGCTGCAAAATAATGTGCTGTGTCATGCGGTGCCTCCTCTACAGTTAGCTTTAGCTTCACCACATCATGAAGCTACACTATGCTCTACGGACTGGACCGCCTGGACGGCCTTTCATCAGAAGTTGCACAAGTGCATCTGATCTCCCAGTTGGCACCCTGGATCTGGATGATGACCTGCATTCTTTCTTCCTGTAATCACCACCAACCGCGGCACAAGTCAACAAGCGAACCCGACCTATATGTGCATTCCAAAACTTCTGCTGCCATTTTCAGAATACATGCATACATACGTACCATTTCGTTATCTGCATCAATGTCAGCGCCAGTGAATTCCCTGAGCAACATAGTGGCAGCTGGCTGTAACCTCCTGCTCAACCAAACCCCGAGACCAATTAGTTGTTGCACGATCACCATATATGTTTCTACTTGTACACACAACATAATCGTGCATTCACCTCCTGGTTTTCTTCATACTGCCAGGCCTAGACCCAAAAGCTTCCTTATTTGTATCTGCAGTTTCATCTGCCTCCGTGCACTTGCTTGGAGCCTAGGGGGGCACAATTGCAAGCAACATAGCTGTATAAGAAAATATATTCCCAGCACAACTTCTAAGCTGTGTATAATTCCAGTGATACATTCAAGGCAAACAAAGTACTTCAAACCTTTGCAGCTTTCGCTGGGGCATGATCACACTTTTGGTCTGGAGCTTGACCACAGTCTATACCATGCTCCAGTTCCACGGTAGCCTTTTCTATAGCGGGCTCACATCTTTCAGATTTCTGGTTCAGTTCCTCAAGCTTCATTTCAGAAGCAACCTAAACAAGTATAACCGGTTTGTCAAGTTTCCTAACAACGACATTCATGATACAACTGACTTGGCTACAGAAATAAGATGGAAAACTCAACCCGAGAACAATACAGGAACATTGTTGTAAACTACCCTCAAGCTAATTTGGGCAGTGGCTGAGAATAATGGAATAAATAAATTCATTCCTTACCATTCCAAGCAAGGATGACTCACTGGAGCTGGTACCTTCTGTGTCAAAGATCACTTGCTGTGAAGAGCTCCGAGATTCAGGATGCTTCTCTTCTATTCAAAGATCCAATAAAATCGTCACAAAATTGCATCAGAGAAAGAAATCATTCAATAAAAGATTAAAAAGCTCTTCACCTCTTATATTAATATGTTGAATATCCTTATCCTTGCTCAACTCTTCCGTTTCTTCTTCACTTTGCTCTATGCTAGCTGTCTTGCTACTAGTAGTGCACTGTGGAGATAGCCTGGTTTTTTCAGTGTTCATGCACAGAAGTGCATCATCTTCTGCACAAAATTAAAGTATACCCCTGATGACCTTTTGCCTAGTAAAATTCATGAAAACTCAATCAAACAGGTTTTCCTTATGAAAGATTTAATCATCTTTTAAGAGGGAGTCAATCTCTACAGAACAAGAAATACAACTCCTAACTTCCTGCAGATTGCCATGTAAAATTATTTAGAAAAAAAATGAAAGTATAGAAATATGAGATACCTGTCAAGCTTTGATCTGAATAGCTAGATGCAGGCATTGCACCACCAGTGTGTGCAGGTATTGACACAGTAAAACTTTCAGATCTATCCAATTCCTTACGAAACACCTGTAACTCTACCTAAAAGAACATGAAAAAGGTAAAGATAATATGTTACTATTATTTCCAATGTATATTTGGTCTAGTGAACTCTAATGAAAATTCTTGCCACAACCCACAAGTGCTAATAGCAAAACAATATCAATAAAGCCTACTATCATACTGCAAAAGGACAATCCAAAGGAACTTTTATTGATTTAAAATGTAATAAACAAAAAAGCAAAGCACCAGATATAACATAGAATTTGGTACTATCATACTGCGACCTTAATAACTGTTACTAGGTACAAAACTGGTGATTTCATTATGTTCTCTCTCTGAAGACAGCTTTACCACACCTTTGGAAATTGGAAAGTTACTGATAACCTAATTTGTGTTAACTGGTACCTATATCATGTGGACAAGTAATCTAGTGCATATTGCAACTTGAAAATTCTATTAGTAATTCGGTCAGCTCTTGCTCTTTTCTCCCATCTTTTGTACTGCTCATTCCATCCTGTCCAACAGTCCTATGACATGAGGCTAAAACCTAAACAAACTGAAAAGGGCAGGGACTGACCGGAGGCAGAGCATGCTCACATGGTGACAGCGGCAGCTAGCTGGACCCTGTAGATGTTGCTGTTGATGGATTCGAGCACGAGGAGGTCGCCGGTGGGGGTGATCTCGACGGCGTACGGCTCGATCCCCAGCTTGTTGCCGTCGAACACGGCGGGGGTCATCTGGACGACCTGCGGCTCAATCCCCAGCTTGCTGCCGTCAAACACCGTGTCCACCGCATACCGGCCCTCGTAGTGCACCATGGACAGCTCGCACCCTCCCGGCAGCGGGGACGACCGCCGCCTCGGCGAACGGGAGCGCGGACGCCGCCGGGCCCGGATCTCCCCTCCTCCACCGTCTTCGTGGCGGCCGATTTGAGCGACCTCGGACTGCCACGTCCGCGGACGCGCGCACCACGCCGCCCGCACCCTCCCGGCAGCTGGGACAGCCGCCGCCGCCGCGAACAGGAGCGCGTACGCCGCCGGGCCCGAATCTCGCCTCCTCCACCGTCTTTCCCGGATCTACGCGGTGCCGCCGTTCGCCGGGGACTGGTGAGAAGCTTCGCATGCTCTGGCCGCCCTTGCCCTCGCCCTGGTACCCGGCGCCGCCGCAGCCCTGCCTGGCCCTCGCCCTCGCCCTAGCAGCCAACGCCGCCATAGCACACACGAAGGAAGAACAGACAGACGAGAGTGGCTAAGGTTGAATTTGAGAAATAAACATTTTACAAACTATACTACTTCGATCGTTCCTATACTATTCAAAGATTATTTTACTATTATAAATTTATTATTCTATCCTTAATTACATAAAACAATTTCTAAAATAGAATTATCTCATCTTTTTTTAAGGGCTGATCCCACCAATTTTAGTACGCATTTAGTGTGTATGGTCCCATCATTTAATATACACTTGGTGCCTATCTTATTGGTTCCTCTATCTTTTTAGCCGTCGAATCAGTCCTCATGAGCCGTCCATTTTTCGAGAGCCATCGTAAAAATTCTCATATTTGTTTTAGACAAAGGCTATTTTTCACCCTTCAATTTACACTATAGTTTCCATTCTCCAACTTACACGTACGTCTGATTTTCAGCTTTAAAGTACAAAATTAGATTTCGGACGCCTTGAACTATTAAAGCTGGATAAATTTGGTTTTTCTATTTCCTAAAAAACTATATCTATACCTAATAATAAAGAGGCAAAAATTATGCCGTACTTTTTTTCTGCCTCCTCTGAATTTCTTTTTCAGTCCGGGTTTGAGTTCCTTTTCCAGTTCGGTTTCCATCCGTATTTTTATGGTTGCTCACATGCGTTCCGTCTTCCAGCACGTCTGCTCCTTGGAACTTGGTAATCCCAGCGACAAAAACAACTAGCATGTGAAAAATGCGCCTAAAACTTCATGCCGCAAGACCTGAACCCAGGTCTCCAATAACAGAAGAGAGACCACACACCGAGACACCATATGCTTTACATGATATAAAACAAAATTTTATATTTGATTCTCCTTTGAGCTGCATCGATTCGAGAAATCTAGGTTGATACATAAATACTTGATTTCCTTTTTTTCTCACCTCAGCCGTGGAACAGTACAAGATGAAATGTTATAAATGATTAGGTCAAAGTAATTTGAAGTGCTTGATGATCATCTAGATTGCGCACTACAATAGCTAAATTGTATTATAGTTCAATAAAGAATCTTGACACGAAGATACTTTTAGGCTGGTTGGTGCCGTAGTTTGGTTGCCATGGATATATCCTGTTTGAAACCGCTAAAAAGTAGATTCTCAGCTGCAGAATGCGACAATCATGCAAACACATCATGGTTGCGTTGATTTCCTCCTCGCATTAGGCCACGGGCCATGGGATTTAAACTAGAGTCCTGTTTTTTTGGTACAACGACTCACGCCACAGACGCACTGCACAGTGGGCATGCACAAGCCGAGCCAAACATGATCAAAGTACGGCGAGCAAAATAGAAGCTACACTTGCAGTAAAGTTTGGCAAGAAAATGAGACTATAACATATGGAAACAGTGCTAAGAAAGTATGGCACATCGTAGTTATGACTGTGAACCACACAATTACATTAAAAACTATGGCGTGGCAAGTTCTGGTTATAAACCAAACAAACCCTAAGCCCCGCGTCCGTTCTTGGACTCTCAAGAAAAAAGGACTCCCGTTGCAACGCACAAGTATATTTACTAGTAATAAGAAAAGACAGATTTAATATCTCAAAATTTGTAACTAATTTGTTTGAAATAAAAAAATGTAAACTAGTACCATTTTTCCAAAAATGTTACCTATTGGGTGAGTTAGTTTTGAAACTTATTTACTCATCATTTATTTAAATAATCATTCTGCACTGTATCAAATCTAGGTACCGACCAAGAGGATCTGGTAGACTATGTGTCGGTATTTCGTACCACCATCAAGTAAAATTTAATATCGCACACTAGGTCTCAGATGGGATAGTACACAAGACACTAAGGGTATGTTAGGAACATATGTATGCCACAAAAAAATAATGCAAAAATTCCACAGGAATTAATTTAATTTCAAAGAAGTATGTAGGAATAGAGAAATTTTCCATCGTTCCAAACAAACCCTAAGGTTTGTACTAGCTCGGGCAAGCGCACTACATCTGTCCCAAGTATTTGAGAGTTTGATAGGGGGTATTCGAGTGCTTCACGTGTGAAATTGGGTATCTTTTTATGCAGTTTTGGTATAGTGATGGCTCCATCGGCCTTGCTTTTACTTCCTCCACGTTCTTAAAGAAAGTCGTTTTGAGTTTGTTTAAGTCAAATATTTTAAACTTTGACTACAAATAAATTTTTTGGGGTTGAGTTTGAAAATATGAAAGTAATGCAAGTAGAGTCATTTCGAAATTGACTATATTTTACAAATATTTTATAGCAAAAAGTAGCAGTCAAAGTTATTTTTGAGACCGTCTCGATGTCCAAAGCAACTTTCTTTAGGAATATGGAGAGAGTACCTACTTAGTTCTGTCTTTAAACTTGATGATTATGCACGGGTCTAGATATCCGTCACTATGAGTACCTAGAAATATGTGAAAGTCAATACCAACCCTCACTGATGCCACTATCGACCACATATATAGATCTTATTTAGGCATTGCACTACAAAGGAGCGCCTTAAACATCATGCAATCAAGCAGCGATGCCATCAATATAAACTAGAGCGCAAAACAATAATTTAAATAAATAACAAGCGTGACTACAAGCAATTTAAAACAAAAGAAATATGCACAAAAGATACACGATCTCCGTGGAAAAAATAGTACCAGTTTTGTATTTTCTAATTTAAATGGATTTTAGGTTCATTCAGATGTTTATTAGTTTTAAAAAACTTCAAACCACTTTTCTAACCAGCCAGAGGAAAATTGGTGATGCCGTTAATTTGTTTTGCAGGTAGTTAAAGGACATCGGTGGCCATGTTATCCCGCCGATACCAGCAAAGTGGGTGAATGGCTGGAGCCGTCCAAGCTATGGGGATAACGTCCATGAGCAAGCCGGTAGTCTCTTAATGCGTCGGGTGTGAGAGCTGAGTATCCTAACCAGCTAGACTACAACGGATGCTCCACATACGCCTATGGTCATTTTATTTCTTTCGACATGTGTAATTCTGTATAAGGCAAAGTCACTATCAGGTATAAGCAACGCATCGCATGGCCGTGACTGAATCCTTGCCCCGTCGCTCCATAAAGTATACCCAGCTATTAGCAGCACAGTTTAGCATAAATGCTACCAACAAAATCTTAGAAACACCTCATTCTTTGCGTTCAAATTGTAACCGATAGGTTGTAAAAAGTACTCCCAAGAATTTGCTTGAACTTGCCTTGCACAGAAACACCACATATGAGTTAGGAAGTCAAACATTACATGTTGGGCAGTAAAATACATTGAAGGTGTCGGCAAAGCTAAAGGATGGACCATCCTCTTGTTAGATGTACAGATGTACTTTGTATTTTTGCTATACTTGGAGAGATTCTTTGCATATGTACACACATGTATATTTGCCCCTTTGATCCTGGAATAGAATGAGTTGGCCAATTCTAACATGGTATCGGAGCTCATGCTTAGAATGGTGTTGCTGAGCGCAAGCATCGCCTTATTCTTGAGACTGCTCGTGCTCTCTTGATCTCTTCTGCACTTGCTCCTCATTTCTAGGCTGAGGCAGTTTCTACGACTGTTTTCCTCATAGGCTGCAGTCTGCTTCTTTGTTTTCTAGGAAATTAAGGAGGAGCCAAGGAAAACTCAATAAGCTGAGAGAGAGTAGCGATCAGTGGGATCACTTGCCCAGGTCACGTCAGAGTACGCCTAAAGCTAGAGAGAACTATAGCGAGGGAAGAAAAGGCTACGGGAGATGGTTCCATGAAGGTACCGCAGAACACGAAGTAAGTGAGCATAGTGGAGCTGGGTAGGAGCCGAGACAAACTGACTGAAGATATGAACAGAGTGAGTAATATTAGGACGGGTGATCCCAAGATAGACAAGGCTCCCAACAAGCTAACGATGGCGAGTGGGATCAACAAGTGGTGCACCGTCAGTGGGTCGGAGGTGAACACTATGCTCCATAGGAGTGTCAACAATGCGGTGATCAGTGAGAGCAACACGAGAAAGGAGGTCCTGAGTGTACTTCTCCTGAGAGAGAAAAATACTATCAGATGTGGAGGTGACCTCAAGACCAAGGAAGTAACGAAGAGGATCTAAATCAGACATGAGGAATGTCTCATTGAGACGCTGCTTCACAAAGGCAATGTACTGAGAGTCGTCACCCGTGATGATCATGTCATCGACATAGAGAAGGAGTGTGCGACTATGAGGAGTAGTGTGAACAAAGAGAGCAGGATCATGGTCACTAGGCTTGAAGCCAGCATCGGTGACAACAGAGGAGAAACGCTCGAACCAAACACAAGGATCTTGCATAAGACCATAGAGGGAACGATGCAACCGACAAACCATCCCATCCGGAATGGAGTACTCCGGAGGTGGCTACATATAGACTTCCTCACGGAGCTCGCCATTGAGGAAGGCGTTCTTGACATCCAACTGAGAAATCGACCACTGACGAACAGAAGCAACTGCAAGTAGAGTCTGAATAGTAGTCATGTGAGCGACAGGAGCGAAGGTCTCCTCATAGTCACGACCTTGCTCCTGTTGGAAGCCACGCGCCACAAGACGAGCCTTGTAGCTCTCAAGAGAGCCATCCGAGCAGATCTTTACCTTGTACACCCACTTGCAAGTGATAGGAGTGACATGAAGTGGTAAAGGAACAAGATCCCAAGTGCCAGTACGCTCAAGGGCAGCAATTTCCTCAGCCATAGCATGCTGCCACTCTTGGTGAGCAGCAGCTTCCCAATAGGTCTCGGGCTCAGCCAAAACGGCAGCAGTGAAGCCAAGGCGATCGGGAGGACGAAGCGTACTGCTGGTCATGAAGAGCATAGCGAGGACGAGACTCAGGATGAGGTCCAAGGACAGACGGGGAAGAGTCAAGTGGCGGTGCAGGGCGTGGATGATGAGTGTAGTAGTGAGTGATCTCACGGGAAGGACGCAACGGTGATGGTGGAGGAGAGACTGGTGGTGGAGAGGTAGGAGGAGGTGGCGGAGGTGAAGAGGTAGGAGGAGGTGGTAGAGGGGGAGATGACTTATTGAGGATTTTGGTGTGCCTACCACTACACCCACTCCTCTCTCTACTGACAGCACCGATGCGATCAGTATTGCTCGGGACCCGGTCAAGCATGAGCTCACCAAACACATTGGCGTTGATGCTTCCTACATGAGATCGCAGGTGCGTGATCAGGTTGTGTCCCTCCACCACGTGCCTTCAGAGGTTCAGCTAGCCGATTTCTTCACCAAGGCACAGACATGGGCCATCATAGATTCTTGCTCTCCAAACTCAGTGTTGTAGATCCACCATGAGTTTAAGGGGGGTGTTAGATGTATAGATATACTTTGTATTTTCCCTCTACCGGGAGGGGTTCTTTGCATATGTACATACATGTATATTTGCCCCTTTGGGCCTGGAATAGAATGAGTTGGCCAATTCTAACACTTCCAAGGTTTTGATACATTTCTGCACATACGACTAGCGAACAATTCTCTTATTTGTTGGATGAGCCACGGAAAACATGTTACATATATATATACATGAGGCAAGAAACAGAGCTGCTGCTTTCTGGCTGCAATTTTAGAGGTACATTGCACATGAAGATGAAAGTCCTGATTTCACATTTGGTCAGCAATCCGTAGTCCACAATATATAGATTAAAAGGGTGGATTGATATAGGGGAACAAGTCTCTGCATTACATCACAATACTCCTAGCAAAACCAAATTAATGTCACTTGACTTCTCTCATCTTTAGTATCAACAAACAAAAGAAGGGGAAAATAGACTATCACTCGAGCACAAAAAGCATTCAACTTTCGGTTAATACCCTTCACACAAATCTATCACACAACAGCACAAGAAAGACTTTACAAGGCGCCTTCCTTTGACAGATTCCTTTATGAAGACGAACACCAACTATTGACATGTCACCGTCAGAGAAGGCTGAAACATTAAGCATTGTGCTCAGTATTTGCATGAAAGAATGCCCATTCACTCTGCTCACTCACCCACTAACTACTTTTTTTTTTCTACGTTGACATCTCACTTTATACGCACGAATTTACATCCATAGACAACAGTCACCCAATCAACACATACTTGTCGATCCCGTGGCCCAGTAAAAACAAGCACGAAGGAGATCTCATGGAGTATTAACTGCTTTGTTACCTTGTGCAGGTAGTTAGCTGTGTAGGTTTGCAAACCGTGTCAGTTCATGTTGAGACAAAAACAAGTCCCTTTCACATCACTTATGAGGTTTATGTGAAAGAAGTTGAGGTCTGGGCCTAATCCTCGTGATTGTTTCATCACTGTTTCGGATCATCTCAGACAACTTCCATGGCTTCTGCCACTTCCACTTGAACTGCAGCAGCCACTGGTGATGGCTCCTTTTCCACCTCCAGAGCTTTCCTGATTGCCCTGCTATTGAAACTTTCCTCCCCACAGACAACTGTGCAATAGGAACCATCTGCATTGAAAATTGTCAATGAAGGTATTAAATAGAGACAGATGGCAACAATGATGATGAGATACAATATGATACTAGTAGATACCTTAAGTTGCTCGTTTTTTATCGCAGCAATCCCTTTGCTGGGGCTATTTACAATACCAGCAGAATACTTAAGCTGCTTCTGTGCAGGAACGGCGACAGGAGACAGTGGTGTGTTGGGGTCATCAGCAGAGTGCTTTGCCGTGCCATTTCCACTTTTCTGTAACAGTGAAATTAGTAGCTTGAATGTCATATGTTCATTGTTGCTTTTTATTTATTATATTGTTAAGGTCAAAGTGAATCGTTTATATATTACATTGTTAAGGTCAAAGTGAATCGTTTATATATCAGTTTGCTCATCTATTGTATCCTAGGACAAGCAATGATTTTCTCCTGCTTAAAACTGTACATATTGATTGCACGTCAACATTGGTTAAAATCATGCACGATGCTGGGAGAAATCATACCGGAGGTGTAGTGGCCATTGGAGCTATCTGTTCTCTTTGCTTGAGCTGCTTTTCCATTTCTCTTCTGTGTGATTCACTGTGTCGAAGAATGCCCACAAGCTCTGTCATTTGTTCCTTCATTTCCTTGATCTCCACTTCCTTCTCCCTTACTTGGCATCTGAAAAAATATTTTAACATTTTAGAGGATTATCACTGATTTTTTGAAGGCAAAAGTATGGCAAGAACTTGGCTTTGCAAAACAGCCATGGGCATCTTCCCGTGGTTGAGTCTTTTCCCCCAATAGGTGTAACAGGTAACCATTCTACTTTAAAGTGGTATCAGATTCTAAGAAAAAGCATCAGTGTAATGGATTTTCATCTATTTCTTTTTTATGGGACGATTTTTTAGTTCCAAACTTTAGTAGTTGAGAACTTCGAGAGGGATAGGTCATGTCATAATATGAAATGAAGAACCAAAACTAAAAAAAAAACAAAAAGATAACCTTGCATCAACAGCAACATTAAAGATATACTGCAGTAAGCTCTTTGCCTCCCCCATTGACCGCAATTGATTCCAACGACTACGGCCAGAGAAGGCACGCTCTCTTTCTTCAGCTTCTGAGAGTTGAGAAGCCATTGCAACAAGAGTATTTGAAGAGATTGTCACCATGCTCTCAAGTGATGCTATCCTAGCTTGTCTTGCATTTGGTGACAAGGTATTTGTCCTGAGAAATAAAAATGCAGTAAAAAATGCATTAGTATTTGGATACCCTAATTGTCACTTAAGATAAGAAGCAGATTAAATATGTTCAAAGCGTATTAGAGGACTGCATTGGACATCTTGCTATGTGTAATGGGTATACTGTTTTTCCTTATGCGAATTAAATACAAGCAATGGATACCTAGTATCAAACAAAAGAGGAAATAACAATCACCTAGTGTTTCCGTTCTTCCCTCTTTGGGGGCTAGATCCACCAGCTCGTATATCGTCTTGTTTCAAAATGGCAAGCTCCTCACCATGTGCAGCGCGCCTTCAATAACAAAAAAAAGCTTCCGGTGAAAAATCCATAAAGCCTATAAGTCCATATAATGACAGCAAAAATAAGAGTTACATACAGTTGGCTTTGTTTTTCGTATTCATTTCGGACTTCATGCACATGCACCATAACTTCAAGCTCTTGATCAAACCATTTTTGCAGCGATCTCTCACTCATCTGTGTTATATCAAGAATGGCTTTAGGTATAAATTGTGTAAATAAACTTAAGAATGTTAGGTATGGATAATCTTACGTTAGAGCCTGGAGATGTACCATTGGTGCCAGCTATGTTTAGAGGGAAGGAGAACAGTGGAACCATTAGATTGAAACTATTTTTATTATACACAAATACATAATGTCACGATGCAGAGAAAGGTACCAGAACTGTCACGGGCGGAAGATTTCCTAGCTTCTAGTATCTCTTTTAGCCTTTTGGTAGCCATAGCAGCCTCTTCAGTCTTCCTTTGCAAAACCTGCAAACAAAATTTTGTCGACTCTAGCAGTTAGAATAAATTGAAATGCAAAATGAAAATGTTTTAGAAGGGAGCTTTAGAATAAAAGAATTGGAAATTTGAAAAATTGAAGGAAAGTGTTTAGAAGGAAGCTGTTTTGTGGGAAAAAGGTACTGTAGAAATGTTTAGAAATGCCTAATATGTAATAAGCTTTTTTTATTCATTTGTTTTCTTTTGTAATTTTCATATAACAACATTTCTTTTGTCATCACTTTAGGAAAGAAACTGACCAATTTCTGCCGCTGATTAAGTGCTTGAAGCTTGTGGCGTTCATACTCATTTCTCCGTCCCTCTTTGTGTAACTGTTTATAGAACAAATTGGCAGAATTAGTGAATCTTGCTTCTTAAAATGGTCTTACTTCAACTATTAAAAATTTAAGTCAAAAGCCTGAATAATTATATAACTACTGGAGATTAAAGCGGGCGGTAGGAAATAAATACGAGCATGGATCAGCAAGTACATATGGTCATCAGTTTAACCTCAATCTTGTGTTGATCGATTATACATTTCTGAATTATCATTTTGCATTTAGTTTTGGTGACTACTATTATAGTATAAAGCCTCGCATATAGTAGTTCTGGTGAATACTATACATGAGGTTGTATACAATAATAACTAAAATTGATAGTTCATACCTGAAGAAGTTCCTTCTCACGGGTAGCTTTCCATTGCCTGAACTGTTCCGCTTCCTGTTTAATTTTGTGTTGTAGTTGAACCTGACAACATCAATAATTGGATTAATGCAAATGAGTTCATATTATTATCATGTATGAAGAATGAGACAAGTGACAAATCAAAATTATAGAAGACATGAGAAAAGGAAGGGAACCTTTTGCGCTTTTATAAAATGAATTTCTTCTTGCAGTTTCTTAGCAGCTTCATCGCTCTTTTGCTTTTCCTTCAAAAGCTGAACTTGGTTCTCCTGCTTTTTCTTTAGGTCTAGAATCTGAAGACAATATTTTGTTGAGTAAGAAGTATCAAAGAAGGTAAAAATTTTCAAATGCAATGTGAAATGCTATTCACCTGGGATTCAAGGGATTTTAGTTTCTGCAGCTGCGCATCTCGGAGTTTATGCGTTTGGCCATCAGCATTTAGGCTTTCAACTTCAGTCAACAATCTGTCCCTCTCTTGCTGAAATTATTGAGAATTTCCTTTGTAAGATCAAAAGTATTCATTTGCATGGTCTAGCAACATACCACTCCGTTGTGATCTTCTATAGTACAATAAAATAATTTAACAGACCTGTACTGCCCTTTTCTCTTCTTCAAGCTCCATAAGTTTCTTTCCGAAGTGCTGCTTAAGTGCAACAGTATCACATCCGTACATTTTCATCTCAGACTGCAGGCGTTTGATAAATCTAGGTAAGTTTCTTGGAAACCACAACAATTAACTTCAGTTTTACAACCTAGATTCAAACTTTACAATCATTGACCCAACATTTGGCCAATAATTTTTAACTATTGTAAATACATAGTTGATGCAATTAGATTTGTAATCAAATTTGCTATCCAATAATCATAATCTTATAATGATAAACAATATAATATAAAATGAATTAATTGTCAAAGTGTAACTTGAGAAACAGTGCATGTCAAACTGCAACTTATAAACTGGTCGTAGTCCAAAGGGAGTAACTTACAAGAATAAAAATGGTGCAGTTAATGATGCCTTTCAAAGTCAGTTTTGCACATTTACAGAACCATTGTAAGCGTAACATTTTAGATGAATACATTAGTGTAATTCCTTATTATTTTATTTACTTCTAAAAAAAATTGATAAAGGAAGGATTTTATTAATTCACAATTATTACATCGAGTTGATACAATAATCATGAACTCACTTCCAGCCTCTGCATAAAAGCACCCAGCCTAAACAAAACAAAGAGAAGTCTGGCACTATAATAGTTTGATTCAATCCTAAGAGTTTGTACTTCTAAGAAATTGACTTTGTACTTTCAGCCTTCAATCTTTTGCTTTATTGGTCAGATAGGAACCCTACAGCTGTCAGATGCTATAGGATCATACACGAGAGTGCAACATGTTGGTTGGATGTGTGAATTTACACCCTCACCTCTAGTTTGATTCCTCTTCTGCTTGAAATTGACCAAGTTCTTTTATTATATACACAACACGATGGCACAATATGTGGTAATGTGGAGGTGAACATAGTCCTCCAAAAACAATGCTAAAAAATATTGCAATAAGAAGCACAAGGACCTTTAACCAAATGTACATTGACTAGAAATTTATAATCATGAACATAATTCTTATTGTTAGATATCCAATACCTCCTTTTGCTCAAGTTGTCGGTTTAATTCATTCAACTCCTTGCCCATGCTATCCTGCAGTATTGTGTGTTCCCATTCTTTAGCTACTTCATCTTCAATATCCTTAGGGTTGCCTGCAGCAGGAAGGGAACATCAATGGATATGCAGAAATCAATATAACTACACAAAGAACATGTTAATGGTATCTCCTTGATGCTAAGAGCCATGGTGAAAAGGAAGCAATACCTCTGAATACTATGATGAAGAAATCATAGAGGTACCAAGAAATTACCTCTTACTGAGTCAGTCATCGGAACATCAAATGGATCTGTGCTTTGCAAGCTTCTTTTGAGCCCTTCGCTTTTGGTAAAGCCATTTAAAGTTCTCTGGAACAAAGAGCAGAATTTGTTATGGTCTAGCTCAAGCACTATGTGACTTGAGAGAAATTCCGTGGAGAAAACAAATGTCTAGTAGGCGCTTTGTTAAGTCATTGTTTCTCTCTGTCTACAAGTGAGGGGGAAAAACTTATCATCAAAGAACAAGAGGTGCAAGTCATGTGGTTGCCTAAATGTTCAACATACAAAAGAGTGCACAAGGACTCTGTGACATACTTGTATTTCAGGTTTACATGGATCATTCTGAGACCGGCTGCGAATATCATATAGTTCCCTGCAAAGGTCTTCATTTGTTTGTTCAAGCCATGAAATCCTCTCTTTGAGACCCTGAAAATTGAAGTCTTGTTATTATGATTCTTATTGCTATTGGATGTCTCTTACAATCTAAGTTTGTTGAGGATATTTACCTGAACATCATCTGATGCGACTCCTCCTCGAGCCGAAACAAGCTCTGCCTGCAAATATTCAATCTGCTGGCGCATTCTTTTCATCTCATCAGCAACAGGATTTCTATTGACCTGAAAATTCAGTTTCATCAACACATCAGACATTGAATGAGAAGAGAAATCAAGATACATCCTGGATAAGAAACAACTAAGAACATGTCAATTAGGTTTCTGAAGAGACAAGAAGTAACAGACTCACAATTGGTTTATTTTGGATATTACGTGCCCGGTTAGCATATTTCAAAGTGTTTAATGTCTCTTCAGCATTAATATCTGCTGGACTTATGCAAGCTGCAGGAGAAAAAGATTATTAAAGTCAGGCGAGTGTAAGCTGAAGCAACACTTTTTTAAGTCTTTTTGTAGTGAAACAAATATTCTTGGACTGCTATTTTCAATGCCACTTATATTAGCAAATTCTAGGTAGAAGGAAAGAAAATGGAGCAATCTCTGACAAGATAAATTACCTATCATGACAGTCTTGCTATTTCCACCTAGGGAGTCCTGTATAGACAAAGCAGATGATCCAGGAGTAGTCAGTAATATGAATTCCTTGAACACACTACGGATGAAAATATCAATAGCATGTAGTAATATGAATTCCATGAACATGCTGGGGACGAAAATATCAATAGGTTTCTATTAGGTTGGAAAATATTAACTGCTGAAAGAGTAAAAATGAGTTGAGCATAGCTATTTTTCTGAACACTACTATAAAGTGCTCAATGAAATCAATAACTTTCTTGTATTTATAGGTGACCAAAAATTATACCTGCAAAAGACGAGTGAGTTTGCTGTCCCGATAAGGAACGTGAGCACCTTCTTTCCTTTTTTTCTCATCTCCAAGAGCACTTATGACATTGCCGAGAGCGAGAAGTCCTCGGTTGATGTGAACACCTATATCACAAAGTATAAATAGCCTTTAATTAGTTTGGTGTGTGTAGAGTGTGTGTGTGGGTGTTTGGGTTCTTGTCCCGTATTTTCTTCTTAGTATAATGAAGCGCGGCTCTCCTGCGTTTTTGAGAAAAAAAAAAAAAAAATGTAGGATAAGAGTTTTGATAAACAAGAAACAAGCATGCCTTCCTTGAAGCGCAGGCCATCTGAACCCGTTCTCTTAGCCCGTTCTGATCCAGCAAGATCTACTAAATGCAGTTTGGCACAGAGATAGTCTTCATTCATCTCTTCAATAGGCATTCCATCTGCAGTCATGATGGGATCTGTTTTGCGCATCTGCTCCAATGTGATTGTGAAGATGGCATGGGAACGACTATTACATGGTGAAACCAGAGTATAAGGTTCATTGAAAACAAGCATCATAATGATAATAGAATATCAAGGAATGTTCTTAATCTTAACACATGGAACACCAAGGTAAACATAAAAAGCAATAAATTACAACTTCTCATGCATCAATTATGAATTTGACAGGCTTAATGATCTGCTTATTGTCATTCATTATAATTGGTAAATATTCTCCGTCCATTGTACAAAGATAAAGTCAGGTTAGGATGATGTGGCCAACCTTGACTGGTTGTTCATGTTGGTACTTCCAGTTGCGCGACTCAGGGAACCTTGTTCAAGGCATGCAGTCATTTCCTTCTGAGTGCTGACATGCACTTCAGTCGATCCAGCTAGCGTTATGACTCCATTTGATGCCTCTCGGATCTGCACAGGGGGTTTCCCTGGCACAGACAGTTTTGCGTGCCCATTGCCATTCTCAACTTTGCCCACAGTAGCAGCAGTAGGGTCAAGCAGATCCCTCACCTCTTCTTTCAGAATCTGCGAAAAACATATGCACAGCAGGGTTCCACATATTACATTAACAAAAAAACAAAGTTGATTTGACATTTTATTCACATGCAAGAATATGGAACAATTCTTGTACCTCGATGAACGATATGCGTAACTGGAACTCCACTTGGCTTTTCAGGTTCTCAATCTTGTCAAACAGTGCAGCCATGGCTCGTGGGATGATCCCGATATGCGATCCCTCCTTGCAGGCAGTCCCCATGGTATACGTCTTCCCTGATCCGGTCTGGTGAGGACAAAATGAAGAAAAAAATGTATAAAGCTAAGCATCATGATTTGATGGATTGATTAGGATCCAAATGCCCTCTATATATCCAAACAGGGCTGAAACTGAAATGATGAGCATTTGGGGGTTCTGGGAGCACAGAGACACAGTCGACCCCATCATCATCGTGTCACAAACAGCTGGAGAAAAAAAAAAAAGCAGGTAATTGGTGCTCCATCCCAGGCCCAGCACCAGACCACATGTTGTGCTGCTGGCTTTTGCCGTGTGCTAGGCCCCAACTCGGTGGTCCAAGCTTTTCAGCTCTTTGGCGGTATCAATGGCACATGGGATGCGAGCCAAATGATTGAGGGAGGGGAGGACCGACCGAGGGCAGGGCATGCGTGGTGGTCGACGAAGAAGATAGATAGAAGGATACGAACCTGGCCGTAGGCGAGCACGGTAGCGTTGTACCCCTGGAAGAGGCCGTCGACCAGCGGCGCGACGCACTCGTCGAACATGGCCGCCGACGGCGTTCCTGTGCTGCCGTAAACATGGTCGAAGGTGAAGGAATGGCTGCCGATCTGGACCTGCACGATGGAAAACAAAATACACAAAAATGGTGGTCAAATCAAATGTCAGCCTGTCTATCTAATGATGATGAGCATGAGTATACTGTAGTAGTAGTAGACTAGTAGTGTAGACAGAAACCCAGTTGGTGAAAGCAACAAAGTCATGGAAGCCCACACATGACACATGCATGTGCTGCATATCATCATCATCATTGGTATGGGTATGGGTATGGGAGGCAAGGAATGAAAGTTCCTTTTCATCTTCACCACAAAATGCATCAGCCAAAAACGATTGTTAAAAAACAACAGAGAGATCATCATCATTGGTATCGTGAGGAAACCCAAGAAAGAAAGGTACGGTGTAACAAGCCTGCCTGGCTGGCTGGCAGCTGGAAATAGAGAGAGCATCTAGAGAACCCAAAACAAGTGTAAAAGTCTGATCCAACAGATCTCATGGTTACTCATCCACTTACCGGAGGATTAGTAAGTATTACACTTTTTTTTCCTAAAAAATGATTAAATTTTGGTGAAGAAAAAAAAGGAAGCAAGCAATGGTGGAGAGAAGTGGAGAGTCTGATCAACAAAAGTTGGCCAAAAAAATAATGACAAATCAGAGTTATGATTTAATTACTGCACGATGCTGACAGGACTCCTGCCTAGCTAGACAAAGGAAAACAAGAACATGAGCAAGATTGGGCACAAGTTCGCACCAAAAATGTGCAAGATTTGGCCCTGCCGACACTTTTTTTTTCTTCTTCCTAAAGCTGAATTAATGAAAAGAAAGAAGAGAAATTCTGGGCATCTCTGTCAGAGGCTACTCAGAGAGAAGAACGGAAGAAGCAACCTAGATTCCATTCCTCGATTTTTTCACATATACTCCTATATATAGAGAGAAGAGAGATCTTGATTTTTCCAAGAATGGGGGGAAGGTTTCGACATGGTCAGTTTATCTCTGCTCTGCTGTGCTCTTGTTGGCGAAACAGACTCTCACCGGTGCAAGATAGAATAGGGGAAAAAAACATCCTGAAACTCTGCAAGACAGTGTCAAAATGTCTCTGAAAATTGTACTAGAAAACAGGGGAAAATACCAGGACAGGCAGATTTCTAAAAATATTGATTGGCAGGAGTTAGTCAATCCACAGTCTGAATTGGGTCATGCAGATACAGATAAACAAGGAACACGCTGGCCGCCGGAAGAGACAGACAGGGCCAGAAACACCCAAAGAATTCAGAATTCATCCATCCCCAGCAACGAAACAAGAATTCGCAGTCCAAAAATGGCAGAACTGATGGTACCTGTGGTTTGCCCGGCACGACGGCGACGCAGTCCTTACAGCCCTGCAGCTTCTCGTCGCCGATGAGCGGGCGCACGTGGACCGCCACCTTGACGCTGCAATCCTCGCCATGCTCCATGGTCATCGTGCCCACCCACGACCATGCAATTAGCGACCACTTTCTATCTCTCTTCTCTTTCTCTCAATGCAAGCAGCACCAAGAACAGGGAGGGCAATAAGACAGGGGAGGATAGAAAGAGGAGGAGTGAAGCAAATGACTAAAGGAGGTGGATGGTGAGTGGCGAGTAACAGCAGCCACTACCAACAGTCCACCACCACCGACGGATGGATGGATGGATAGATGGCTGGATGAATGGATCAATCCTCCTCCTCCGCCGCCTGCCTCTCTCTGTTCGTGCAGGGTAGATAGAGATGGAGCTGGAGATGTTGGTAGCCTCAGGCGGCTCGGCTGGCCAGACCTAGGTGAAGCAGCGAACGAGGAAAACTTCACCGTCACTTCTGCAACCACCACCACCACCACCACCACCACCTTGCCTTGCCGCCGATCCAGTCCAACCGCAGCTGCGGCAACTGAGCTGAGGCTACAAATGCCGCTTGCCCCTCCTGCTCGGATCTTGCTGCCCTGATGATTCCCCCTCCCTGCTGTGCTGGTGCTCTTAGTTGGGACGGCAGGCGAGGCGAGCGCGGGGCGAGAGGAGGGGGGATCCTTTGGCCTGGTGTTTGGTGGTGGGTGGAAATGGAGACGGAGACGGAGACGGAGGACAAAGCAAGCCAAGGTGAGGGAGCTGAGTGTGTGTAGGTGAAGAAGGGAGAGCTGTGGGGTGCCCCTGCCGCTCTCTTGCCTTGCCTTGGAGTATTTTATTTCCTTTCCTCCTTTTCCAGCGAAGGTGAGTGAGTGAGTGCAAGTGCAGCGACCAGCGAGCGAGTGATACTCACTGCCTGCGGCTGCGGCTGCGGTAAGACTGGTTCTCACTGCTCGTCCGCTGCAACAAGGACGTGGCATCTTCTTGGTTGTTAGTGACCCAAGCCCCACCCTACCACCAAGCACAATTGACCGACCTGACCTGTGACCTGACCACCTCTCTCTCGTCTTGACGTAAATTCTATCTATCTGCTAATTTATCTTTTTACAGTTCCCTGTCAAGCAAGACGTTGGTTTCATATTTTTCGCATTGGCATTCGCTTGCTCGGACATTGTCATCTCAAGAAATAGTAGTAAAATGAAAACACCAACTGTTGCTCCGATTCAGTGCCTGTCAGTCAGTCAGTCAGGAGCCAGAAATCAGAACTGGCACCTGCTCTCTGCTACTAGTAGTCTGCTGACGGACAAGGGCAAGGGAAAACAGCAGCAGGACAAGACAAGCTACGTACACCACCGCCACCGCACTGCATGTGGAGTCACGCATACTGTAGCGTTACTCGCCCCGCCCCGTTGCAGCCAACACGGCGCGCGCGCGCGCGTGCGTGAGTGCGATGCTTAATCTAACATAACAGAAGCCATACTTATTTGCATGCATTTTACGTATTTGCCAAACAAGCATGATTTAGTTTGGAAATGTCACTTGTGTATATATGGGTTACTTATTTATGCATAACAAATGTCAGCACTGGTTTGTTAGTTCAATCAGGAAGTGATGGGCACCACCAATATAATCCACCATGGTCCATGGTCGTCCACCAACTTACACATTGGCTCCCAAATGTATTCTATTATTTCGCCTTCGGTCTAAACGCAACTCTTTTCCTGTTCACAAATACTCCTGAAAAAATCGTTGTATTTATTATTTAATTTGCCATCAATTATTGTAGTCAACAACTTTGGCAGTTTTTGTTCTAATATCTAGTATCATCTCTCATAGTTGTTTACACTTCCTTTTAGTTGCTCTTTTTAGCTTAGCTTGAATTCAAATATGAAAGCAGTTTTTCCTAAAGGAATTAATAACCTTAAGGTTTATTATTATTTAACTAGCCTTTTTTTCATACTTCTCAAGGGGGCTAAAGGCCACTTTGACGATGATTGACAAGCTATGAAGTACACAATGCAAGACATTGGTAGCAAACATATGCATTAAAAGCAGTAACTTCAGCTGTTAGATCCAACAATCTTGTTTCATGTAACTTTGGCCTTCAATTGCTAATTAAGAAAGCACTGTCCACATCTTCTCCATACTTGGACCTCCGTCCCTAGCTTCACCACCGCCCTATCTTTATCATTCACGAAAACAGAAACCCACATTGGAAAGCCTTGGCTCTTTCACTAAAGGACATAGTCTAATTTCCTTCTCACAGGAATCATATTTTTAATTAGCAGGTTGTTTTCTTAGATTATTATATTATGATCTATCGGTTATATATTCAACGAATTTAGGGCAGATCTAGTTTGTATGCAATATAAGTACCAGTTTAGTTTAGCAGAGCCAATGATTTTTTTTCCCAAAATCGTGAAATTTTTTTTTGCTGCAAGTTTTATTGGAAGGATAAATAAAAAAAAACTCAAGCTCCAGCCAAGTTTTTAATGAAAACGGGCTCCGAAAACCACATGATTAGGGTGAAAAACTGAACAAATCAATAGTAAGACCGTCCCATTAAAACTTATGATTTTTCAAATCACAGCTCCGGTACCAAGTTACGATTTTTGAAGTTACTTTATCACTTGCATTGGGCTAGCTAGAAGTGGTTAATTGCAACCATCCCATAAGTCAATGTTATTTCTGCTTAATCTGCTTTTGATGTGCTCATCAAGTTTGACAAGTCTGGTTTTTTGTATTGAATTTTGATCCTGAATTGTCTTCCATAATTATTTGAATATTTCTAATTATTTAAATATTTTTTAATTCCACATTTTAGTGCGCGGCCTGTTATTTATTAACATACCTGATTTTGTATAAGATAAGAAGAACTGGGGAAAACATATTGTCAAACTATCGTATCATTGCCTTGTTTATACTACCATTTAACGACGATGCTAAAAGCCAATTTGACCGAGGCTAGCTTAAAGTAGACAAGAAATTTGGGTGCCGAAAAGCATTAACTCGTGCCGTTAGATAGATGGAGGAAGAATCTTGTTTCATGTAACTTTTTCCCTTGAATTGCTAACAAACGCTGTCCCCATCTCCTCCTTCCTGATCTGAACCACGCACCCTCGTAATCAGCTTCACCTCCACTCTACCCACCCACCGTTCATCACCAAAGTAGTAACTAGAAAAACACAGAGCAGCAACGCTATGACAACACACAATTTTGGTATTATATACTGTAGTATTAATTGCAGCAGGATATTGATGAATGGAGCTAGCTAGATGTGGTCTGGAGTCACAACCAAGTATCGTTAGATTATTCATTAATTATATTTTCATAGTATATCTATTTGATATTATAAATCTTTTGTAATTTTCTCTATAACTTTGGTCAAACTTAAGATAAATTAACTCTTCAAGAAAATTAGAATAACTTATAATTTGAAATGAGTGAGTAATAATTAAGTTGCAAGGCGCAAGCATTGAGCATGGCGACGTCACTCGCTCATGGGACATACTACAGTAGCTGAAACAACACTCCTAACTCGATCGATCAGAGGCTGATGAGGCGTCAATTCTGCTGCCATTAGCTACCAGACCAGGGTGGAGGCGGTCATGCGGAGGAGGCGTAGGCGTGACGGGTTTACACACAGGCACAGGCCACATTTGGTCCGGGGGAGAGTTACGTTGCTGATGCCAGCTCTTCACCTCCCCTAATAGCGACTTAATCCCGTAGTTTATGCACGGCAGGTGGCCCTCTCGATCGCACACATCACATTGTCTGATTATTATCATATTGTTTTTGTAAAAAGTGCTGGATCCCTTTCACGTCGTCTGAGGTGCAGCTGGTGGTTAGCCAGTCCCATGTGGCGTCAACAACAATTCAAGGATTATTATTTTTTCACTTTGGATTTTGCCTATGCTTTTTTTTTTCCAGTAAAGTTATATCCATCCAAGGGCAAACTTTTTGGTGAGATTTGGTTGTGAACTGCCACTGCGGCACTGCCTAAAGTTAGCTGTACCAGAATACAGCCTGCAGCATTGGCGATGACCGACCGACCGACCTCTCTGCACTTTTTTTCTTAACCGCTTCTTTTTCGCTGTTGCTTTGCTCTTTCTTATATGGTTTTTTTAGTAAACCTAGTCATGGACATTATATTATTACCTGGAATGTCGTATACTCGTATGTGGATGAGAAGACCCCACTATGCTACTAGCTTGTGAAATTACCATTTAAAATATTAAAGGGCCGTGTATGTGTAGGATTTACCAGAAATTTCCTAGATCATGCATAACATCCAATCTTTTTAACTAATAATTGTGTATTTGTGAGGTGGCAAAATAGAACTTCATCGGCTGTCTCACTGTCTGAGTCCTGAATAGCGTGCACTATGACAGGAAAGAACTGTTATTAATTATTTTACTTATGCTAGCTTTCAAGTTTCAAAGAATGATCGACTAGGCCTATATCATGGAACAAAATATTTCATTACAGAACAGGAGATCCTAATTTTGTCACATTCAGAAATGATGACCATCATAGCCAGATCCACTACTAGGAACATAATTATTTGTCAAATTAGAGGAGATTTGAACTACTCACCCATGTGTCAGTGAGACATTGATGGCTGTTTTGGGATTAGAAAAGTTCTCTCCAGGAAATAACTAATTGGCCCTAAGAAATAATAATTCTAGTGACCTAGAGCATCTCTAAGAGGCTCTCTGCGTTGCACCACTTCTATGTCTTTTCCGTTCCCCAAATCACCATTCTCGCTCTCTACTAATGAAGATGCTACATGGCTCTTTCAATTTAATATATAGTAGTTCTTTTATGAATTTATTTCACATAAGGAAAATAAAGATAAACCATTAGAGTACAGAAATGAAAGTTAAAAAATCTATTAGAGACATGAGAGATATATATAAAGAGAATAGTCATGGAATGACTGGATAGAGATATATAGATTAACGTTTAGAGAGGCTCTTGGAATTGCTATTAAATCTGTTATTAGGAAGATATATCAATTTGCTCCACAAGCCCAATAGATAAACTCATACAGTAGTTAGTTCATGTTTGCCTTAATAATGCGTAAATATAAGGAGAAAT